TGTGGATTTTCAGGGTGAAGCGGCCGCCAGGTTCTCCGCCTGTCTTCAAGGCTCGTTACGTTGCTAGAGGCTTCAGTCAGCGTCAGGGGGTCGACTTCTTCCAGACCTTCTCCCCCACCCCGAAGATGACCACTCTTCGGGTTCTGCTGCACGTTGCTGCTCAGCGTGACTACGAGCTTCACTCTCTTGACTTCAGCACAGCGTTCCTGCAGGGCAGCCTGCACGAGGAGATCTGGCTGCGCCGCCCACCTGGCTTTACTGGGTCGTTTCCCCCTGGTACCCAGTGGAGTCTCCGCCGGCCAGTCTACGGTCTCCGCCAGGCGCCACGTGAGTGGCACGACACACTGAGGACTACTCTTGCGGCTCTTGGGTTCGCGCCGTCTACTGCTGACCCGTCGCTGTTTCTGCGCACAGACACGTCGCTGCCGCCGTTCTACATCCTCGTGTACGTCGACGACTTGGTCTTTGCTACTGTTGACACTGAGGCACTCGCTCGTGTGAAGTCGGAGCTGCAGAAGAGACACACCTGCACTGACCTGGGTGAACTGCGTAGCTACCTTGGCTTGCAGATCACCCGGGACAGAGCTCGCCGCACCATCACCCTGACTCAGTCACACATGGTGCAGCAGGTCCTTCAGCGCTTCGGCTTCCAGTTCTCCTCACCACAGGCCACACCTCTGGCTACCAGCCACTCGCTCTCAGCTCCACCTTCGGACGAGTCCGTAGAGCCGAGTGGCCCATACCCAGAGCTTGTAGGCTGCCTCATGTACCTGATGACTTGCACGCGACCTGACCTCGCGTACCCTCTTAGCATCCTTGCTCGTTACGTTGCGCCTGGGAGACACAGGCGAGAGCACTGGGAGGCTGCTAAGAGGGTGCTGCGTTACCTGTGCAGTACATCAGGCATGGGGCTGGTGCTTGGAGGACGCGACAGAGTTGTTCTCACTGGTCACTCGGACGCCTCTTGGGTGGACGACCTGGCTACACAGCGGTCGTCACAGGGTTACACCTTCAGCCTTGGCTCAGGTTCTGTCTCGTGGCGGTCCACCCGCTCTTCCTCTGTTCTCGGCTCTAGTTGTGAGGCTGAGATCTACGCCACAGCCATGGCTGCACAGGAGTTACGCTGGCTCACCTACCTGCTGACTGACTTGGGAGAGCGGCCTAGTTCTCCTCCAGTTCTGTACGGTGACAACAAGGCGGCTCTTGCCTTGTGTCAGGAGCACAGACTGGAGCACAGGACGAAGCACATTGCTCTTCGCTACTTTCTTGCTCGAGAGCTTCAGCAGCGCGGTCAGCTTCGGCTTGTGTACATGGACTCGAAGGCCAACACTGCTGATATCTTCACCAAGGCGCTCCCGCCTAGTGATCATCAGCGGCACTGTACTTCTTTAGGCCTTGTGTCCACGTTTCCTCACTTGCTCACTGCTTGACATTCTTTGTACTGTACTTTATATATATCTTGTTGCTTGCTTGCTAGGTTTTGATCACTGTGTTGCTTGTCTTGTACTATATCTAGCACTGCATGTGAACTGGCCTTGTGGCCTTTACTTGTGCTCGGAGTGTGGTGACGTTGTGATCCACCCTGGGCTTTGCTTTGCTTTGCTGGACTGGTCTTGTGACCCCTTGTTCTCCCCCACTTTGCCTATGGGGGTGTGTTAAACTGTATTATGCTTGTAGGCTGTAGTGGGGTAGCCAATATGGGGTACAACCCCAACTAGGGTTTGATATTTGTACCCAAACTTCTGCTAGTTCATCATCCTTGCCTAGTGATTCTGATAGCGTCTCCTAGCTACTGTTGTCACTGACCCTACCTTTGAGTCCTCGGCTGCGTCTGCTCTGGTCGCTGAGTTGGTTGACTTTGCTGCTGCCTGTCGTCTAGACTACGCTGCTCGCCTTGTTGCTGGGTCTGAGTCTGCGTCTGTCTGTCCTCCGTCCGTCGGGGGTGAGTGTGCTCTTGGCACGGACGTCCTTGAGGACAGGCAGGAGGACTTTGACTCTCTCGCGGCTGCTGTACCTCATCTCGTGGCCTGGTTGCTTGCCCCTGAGGGAGACCCGGATGCACTAGACATCCCCACTCCGCGCACTTACGCAGAGGCGATCTCGGGTCCCTACTCCTCTCAGTGGCAGATAGCCATGGACGCAGAGATGGCATCCTGGAAGTCCACAGGCACCTACGTCGACGAGGTTCCCCCTCCTGGGGCGAACATCGTCGATGGCATGTGGATTTTCAGGGTGAAGCGGCCGCCAGGTTCTCCGCCTGTCTTCAAGGCTCGTTACGTTGCTAGAGGCTTCAGTCAGCGTCAGGGGGTCGACTTCTTCCAGACCTTCTCCCCCACCCCGAAGATGACCACTCTTCGGGTTCTGCTGCACGTTGCTGCTCAGCGTGACTACGAGCTTCACTCTCTTGACTTCAGCACAGCGTTCCTGCAGGGCAGCCTGCACGAGGAGATCTGGCTGCGCCGCCCACCTGGCTTTACTGGGTCGTTTCCTCCTGGTACCCAGTGGAGCCTCCGCCGGCCAGTCTACGGTCTCCGCCAGGCGCCACGCGAGTGGCACGACACACTGAGGACTACACTTGCGGCTCTTGGGTTCGCGCCGTCTACTGCTGACCCGTCGCTGTTTCTGCGCACAGACACGTCGCTGCCGCCGTTCTACATTCTCGTGTACGTCGACGACTTGGTCTTTGCTACTGCTGACACTGAGGCACTCGCTCGTGTGAAGTCGGAGCTGCAGAAGAGACACACCTGCACTGACCTGGGTGAGCTGCGTAGCTACCTTGGCTTGCAGATCACCCGGGGTAGAGCTCGCCGCACCATCACCCTGACTCAGTCACACATGGTGCAGCAGGTCCTTCAGCGCTTCGGCTTCCAGTTCTCCTCACCACAGGCCACACCTCTGGCTACCAGCCACTCGCTCTCAGCTCCACCTTCGGACGAGTCCGTAGAGCCGAGTGGCCCGTACCCAGAGCTTGTGGGCTGCCTCATGTACCTGATGACTTGCACGCGACCTGACCTCGCGTACCCTCTTAGCATCCTTGCTCGTTACGTTGCGCCTGGGAGACACAGGCGAGAGCACTGGGAGGCTGCTAAGAGGGTGCTGCGCTACTTGTGCAGTACATCAGGCATGGGGCTGGTGCTTGGAGGACGCGACAGAGTTGTCCTCACTGGCCACTCGGACGCTTCTTGGGTGGACGACTTGGCTACGCAGCGGTCGTCACAGGGTTACACCTTCAGCCTTGGCTCTGGTTCTGTCTCGTGGCGGTCCACCCGCTCTTCCTCTGTTCTCGGCTCTAGTTGTGAGGCTGAGATCTACGCCACAGCCATGGCTGCCCAGGAGTTACGCTGGCTCACCTACCTGCTGACTGACTTGGGAGAGCGGCCTAGTTCTCCTCCAGTTCTGTACGGTGACAACAAGGCGGCTCTTGCCTTGTGTCAGGAGCACAGACTGGAGCACAGGACGAAGCACATTGCTCTTCGCTACTTTCTTGCTCGAGAGCTTCAGCAGCGCGGTCAGCTTCGGCTTGTGTACGTGGACTCGAAGGCCAACACTGCTGATATCTTCACCAAGGCGCTCCCGCCTAGTGATCATCAGCGGCACTGTACTTCTTTAGGCCTTGTGTCCACGTTTCCTCACTTGCTCACTGCTTGACATTCTTTGTACTGTACTTTATATATATCTTGTTGCTTGCTTGCTAGGTTTTGATCACTGTGTTGCTTGTCTTGTACTATATCTAGCACTGCATGTGAACTGGCCTTGTGGCCTTTACTTGTGCTCGGAGTGTGGTGACGTTGTGATCCACCCTGGGCTTTGCTTTGCTTTGCTGGACTGGTCTTGTGACCCTTTGTTCTCCCCCACTTTGCCTATGGGGGTGTGTTAAACTGTATTATGCTTGTAGGCTGTAGTGGGGTAGCCAATATGGGGTACAACCCCAACTAGGGTTTCATATTTGTACCCAAACTTCTGCTAGTTCATTCATTCTTGCCTAGTTATTCTGAGACCGCACACACTCCCCCTCGCTCACCCCACCGCTGGGAGAGTACCTGGACGGAGCTTGAGGAGGGGAACATACCTCCAACACCAGCACGAGACTCTCTCGGTCCAATCTCTCGTCCAGACCCTTTCGCGCGCCTCATCGAAGGCACGAGGACACCGCTGGACATCATTCCCGACCGTGACTTCCTCGACCTCTACCTTACAACGGCACCCGCAGAAGGGGACACAGCAACAGAAGCAGAAACAGAGTTAGCAGAAGACGAAGCAGAACCAGGAGAAGAGGAAGAACCCCCACTCCAAATCCCACAAGAGACGGAGGCGGAAGCAGCAGAACATCACGCACGCTACATGCGCACCAGTGGCATCCGCGCAGAAGATGATCTCTGGCACCAGCGATTCGGCCATCCCTCGCGCCGGACCCTTGCCAACTGCCTCCGCGCCGGAGTCTTCTTCCTAGGAGCACTACTCCGCCCCGACGGTACCGAACCACGCAACACCTCACAACCGACCACCTGCACCGTCTGCCCCACAGCAGCCCTCACCCACAGCGCTTACCCCTCTCTGGAACCGAGCACCAACCGCTACAAAAAGTTGCAAAAGGTGTACAGTGATTTCATCGTGCTCACCTGCGACGGGCTCAACGGCGAAAAATATACACTGACCTTCATTGACGCCTACTCACGCCACGTCTGGGTCGTCAATGTCGACGCACGATCCAAGGCCCCAGAAGTCTTCCGCATCTAGCTCGCACACGCACAGCGGCAGTCGGGGAGGAAGCTAAAAATTTGGCAGAGTGATGGCGCCAAGGAGTTCCGCAGTAACGAGCTGGAGAGCGTTCTCACCGAGAAAGGAATCAAGCACGAGATATCCCTCCCTTATGCTCACCAACAGCAAGGCGTTGCGGAGAGGGTCAACCGCACTCTCATGACGAAAGTGCGCGCGCTCATGAATCAGTCCGGCTTACCACGCGATGCAAATCAGTCCGAAAGAAATTCTGGCCCTACACCATGCACCACGCGGCACGCCTGCACAAACTCCTCTCCACCACAGCCAACAGGGACTACCTTTCGCCGCACATGAAGTGGACCGGCTCAAGGGGAGACCCGTCCATGCTAAGAGTTTGGGGGTGCAAGGTTCAATATCGACCAACTTCAGCCACAACCGGCAAGTTTGCTCAGCGCGTGCGCTGGGGTATTCATCTGGGGCTCAGCAACGAGCACAAGGGGTGGCTCATTCTCGACATCAACAGCAAAGAGACCGTTCCCGCGCGCGATGTTTTCTTCTACGAGCGACTCACCTTGAGGCAGTGGATTGAGGACGAGAGGCGCAACCAAGCTCGTGGCTACGTCAACAGCGGCCGCAGCTTTGCATCTCCTGAGGACGAGGCAGCAGCAGCAGCGTTTGATCGCGACGACACCGACGACCATCCCGGCATTCCGACTCGCCCACGCACGGACAACGACGACGATGATAGTGACGACACGCCCGCACCCGGTCCATCCCGCCAACAAACCACCGAAACCAGCACATCCTCACCAGGCCACGAGAGCGACGATGATGATGACGTGGTGGAAGTCCCCATCACCGACACCGCAGACACCACGAATGTGTCTGGCCTTCAACTGCTCGGCCTCCACACCTCCGTCTCCACCCTCGTCCGCGCCGTCGAACCCAAAAACCCGCGCCAAGCCCTAACCGGCCCTCATGCCAAGGAGTGGCGTGCAGCTATGGACGCTGAGATAACAACGCTGGAGTCCCGTGATACCTGGGTCCTCGTCGATCGTGCAGCAGTGAAGGGGAGAAGGGTGCTAAGCGGAAAATGGGTATTTCGTCTCAAGACTAACGCTGACGGAACCATCGAACATTTCAAAGCACGATGGTCGTACAAGGATACGATTGGCGCCACGGCATCGACTTTGACCAAACCTTTGCTCCCGTCAGTCGTCATACCTCCGTCAGGATTCTACTCGCCATAGCCGCCGCTAAGCATCTGCCACTGCGACAGATCGACGTGAAGAACGCATTCCTATATGCGTTGGTGGATGCAACCATCTTTGTGGAGCAGCCACACACCTACGGAGAAGGAGATCCCAGGGTCTGCCAGCTGAAGAAATCCCTCTATGGGATCAAGCAGGCGCCTCGTCTCTATTAGCACCACCTGCACAAAATTCTGCTCGAGATCGGTTTCAGGCAGCTGCCGCACGACCCGGGAATGTACCGCCTCCACTTCAACGGCGACTACATCCTCCTCACCGTCTACGTCGATGACCTACTGTACACTGCAACCTGCTCCTTAACCAGTTCGAGGAAAACCTGGCGAAGCGCGTGGATATCACCATCAACCACAATGTCACTCAGTTTCTGGGCCTGAACATCACCTACGCGCCAGAAGCAATTCATCTGTCAGCTTCAAAATACGCAGAGCAGCTGGGGGAGCGCTTCAACATCCCACGCGCACCACTCTCAACCCCCTACCGCAACCCCGGCACCAACTACAAACCGGACAACAAACCTCTGTCCCCTGCCGGACTTCAACTGTACCAGCAGCAACTGGGTTGCCTGCTGTTCGCATCTGTCACATGCCGACCCGACCTTTCGTACATCGCCAGCCAACTGGCACAGTACTCCCGCAAGCCAGTAGCCGAGAACCAGCTGGACCTGGAGCGCGCCCTGCAGTGCCTCATCTCCACACCTGACATCGGGCTCTCCTACTCCACGCTGACAACAACATCCTTCAACCTCAACGGCTACGTGGACGCAGATCACGCCGCTGACCCTGCGAATCGACGGTCCCGAACTGACTTTGTCTTCCGACTAGAGCCAACCGGCCCCATCTCTTGGAACTCGCAGAAGCAGGAACTGGTTGCCCTGTCATCGGCTGAAGCTGAATACATCGCCGCGACAGCAGCAGTTCGCGAAGGTCTGTACCTGCAGGAGCTGCTACAGGAGGCGAAAATTCCAACCTCGCCTACCTTTCGCCTGCACTGCGACAACCAAAGCGCGATCAAGATCGCGAACAAGCCCGGGTTCGTGAACCGCACGAAGCACATCGCACTGCGGTACTTCTTCGTCAAAGACGAAATTGACCAGGGCAAGGTTGACCTCGCGTACTGCCCGACCACTGAAATGGCGGCCGACTTCCTCACCAAGCGTCTGCCACGTCAGCAGTTCAAGCACTGCTCCGACCTCACACGAGTGGTCAAGCGAGTCAACACCCTTCGCATCCAGGAATGAAGGGGATTGTTGCGATATGAAGTTTTGATAAGAAGGCATTCTTGTATGCTGCTGAAGCCGACTCTACCGAGTACGAAGGCGAGGAGTCAGAAGAGTCGAAGCGACACAAGCAACCGCATGATCAAGACCGATGCAGGAAGAAATGAAAAGAGCGGGAACAGGTTTGAAACTGATTCCCGCGCCGCACGGTTTGAACTTCGATGTAATAAGGGAATGTACCTCTTAGAGTACATGGCTAGCCTAGATCGTGTCGCATTCCTTTTGTATTCCCTGTTTAAACCCAATGTATGCATGCCATCGTCAATCTCAGTCATTTACATTCACTCTGACCTGAGTTCACTACTTCCGCTGCGACACTACCTGCGATCAACCCTGAGAGATCCTTTCGCTAAGTCCCACTTCAGATTGTAACAATTTACATTCACTCTGACCCGAGTCCACTACTTCCGCTGCGACACCACCTGCAATCAACCCTGAGAGATCTTTTCGCTAAGTCCCACTTCAGATTGTAACAATTGCGACCACTATGGTTACCTCGTTGCAGCTCATAACCTCTGAGATGGTTGTGGCAGTCGAAGCATGTCACTACTTCTTAGTCCAGGTCGGTCAACAATTGCGATGTGAAGTTTGCTGTATTTTGCCACTTGGGCAGTAGGTGAGCTTGCCTTTTGCTCTTTATCAATTTTGTCTTTCACGAAGAAGTGCTGGAGGGAGCGCTTGACGAAGCCGAGCGTGTTTGCGATCTTGATCGCGATTTGGTTGTCGCAGAATAATCTGAATGACTCGTTCATCGTAACTTTCGCTTCCTACAGGAGCTTCTCGGAGTTTCAGAAGATGGGTCAAGTGTGCTCAACAATGCCCTAGATATCAGCCTTTTTACGCTGATTTAGCGTTAGATCAGGATTTTTTTTATACACTAGGCTGAATCCGAAGTTTTTTGTTATGTACCTTGGCTGGTTTTTCTGTGTTTATTTATACCTTAGCTGATTTTCCAGCCTGTTTGTATAAGTGTAGGCTGAGCACCTAGCCTTTAGAGGGTGCACACTGAAACCGGCAAACAGTGAAACCTCCGCCACCCCACCACTTCCACACGAAACTTCCCCCAGCCCCCCATGTTCCACTCGAATTTCCCACCCAGTTCCCGTGCTCCACTCGAAATTCCCCCCAGCCCCCGTGTTCCACTCGAAATGTCCCCCCATCCCCCGTGTTCCACTCGAATTTCCCCCCCAGCCCCCGTGTTCCACTCGAATTTCCCCCCCAGCCCACGTGTTTCACTCGAATCTCCCCCCAGCCCACGTGTTTCACTCAAATCTCCCCCCAGCCCACTTCGTCCACTCTAAACTCCCCATAGCCCGCCTGCTTCCCTCGCCACTCCCAAACCAACCATAAAAATGTTACACTTTGTATCTGTAATCCGTAATTCTGCTTAGAATCAAGATATACACAATCAGGGAGTTTTTTTTTTTTTTTTTTTTTTTTTTTTTTTTTTTTTTTTTTTTTTTTTTTTTTACGAACGCTGAATTTTCAGAGTTTTTTCCTAGGTAACGCTGACTGTCAGCGTTTTTTTCCGTATCAGGGCTGATGGATCAGCCTGGTCCAAAACGAATCTAGGGGCTTGGTGCTCAAATTTGGAAGGAATCCCGTGTGGGACCTCCTATTATCAGCATCTCCTGCGTGGTCTGCATCCACGTAGCCCGTTAGCTATAGAGTAGCTGTTGAATTAGTTCTGTAGGCCAGACTGACGTCAGGTCTAGAAACGAAGCCATTGTAGTGCACGTCGTAAGTCCGCCATACCCTCCCCTTCAAGTCGGCACATATACTGGGCGAGTTCGCTAGTGGCATAGGATAAATCCGGTTGGCATGTGGTGTCAAATTATATCTGTATTATATATGTGTAGGCTGTAGTGGGGTAGCCAATATGGGGTATAACCCCTTTTAGGGTTTCATATTTGTACCCAACTCTTCCTAGTCATCCTCCACCCCTGCTAGTTGTTTCTAACATGGTATCAGAGCAGGTTTTCCCTAGGACCTCAGGATCGATTTTTTTTAGGGCCCACCACCAACCGCTCGCGGTTACCGTGCTACCCCGCGCCCTGCTTGGCCTGCCCTACCCTGCCCTGCCCTGAGCCGCGTCGCCCTCGCTGGCAAGCGCGCCGCTCGCCCAAAGCCCCGCGCGCGCCTTGCTGCACGTCGCGCTGCCCCACAGCCCCGCGCGCCGCCCGTCGCGCTGCCCTGCAGCCCCGCGCGCGCCCTGCAGCCCAGCGCGCGCCCTGCAGCTGCCCGTCGTGCTGCCCTGCAGCCCCGCGCGCCGCCCGCCCGCTGCCTCGTCAGCCCCGCGCGCTGCCCGCGCAGCCCTCCCGCTGCCTCGTCAGCCCCGCGCGCGCACCGCCCGCTGCCTCGTCAGCCCACGCGTACACCCGCTGCAGCCCTGCGCGCACCCTCTGCAGCCCTGCGCGTACACCCGCTGCAGCCCCGCGCGTACACCCGCTGCAGCCCTGCGCGTACACTCGCTGCAGCCCCGCGCGTACACTCGCTGCAGCCCTGCGCGCACCCTCTGCAGCCTCGCGTGCTGCCTTTCCCTGTTGCCTGTGCCTGCTGCCCTTGCCTGCTACCTGTGCCTGCTGCCTTTGCCTGCTGCCTTAGCCTGCGCTGCAATCATGGCGACGCTTAATGTTCTCGCGTTTGAGCCTAACGGTCAACCGATTGAGTTTGCCACTTGGCTCGACGACCTGCAACTGTTTCTTATGACTGATGCAAAAGACGGCGTTTCACTGTTCGATCACGCCGCTGGCACTGCCGTTGCTCCTACTGACACTGTTACTGCTCTTGCCCGCTCACAGTGGCAGACTTGCGATGCTGCTGCGCGCCTCGTTATTCGCAATCACCTGCCGATCACTGAGCGCGCGCATTTTAGCCAGCACAAGACTGCTAAGGCACTGTATGACGCTGTGTATTTGCGCGCTATTCGACCCCAGCCACTGCAGGTGTAGGCCGTCTCATCCTGCCCTACCTGTTCCCAGACCTGTCCTCGTTTGCCACCGCTGAGGACCTTATCTCTCACCTCCGCGCTAGTGACGCTCGCTTTCGTGCCGCCCTTACAGACGACTTCCTCGCCAAGAACCCCCCCCCGTTGTACTTTACCCTCTACATCCTCGTCACCCGCCTCCCTGACACTCTCAGTTCAGTCAGGGACCACTTCCTCGCCAAAGACCCTACCACTCTCACTCTAGCCGACTTCGAGCAGCAGCTCCTAGCAGCAGAAAAGAACATCCTCGCTGTAGGTGCTGCTCGTGGCACTCCTCGCACTCCCCTCTTTGAGGGGTGCTCCCCCTCCCCTCTTGCCCCCTCCTACGCCTCTGGTGTTGCTGCCGTCGACCTCCTCGGTGCTGAGAAGGTCGCAGCTGCTTCCGCTCCAGGTGGGAAGCGCAGCGGCACCAGGGGCGGCAAGGGTGGCAAGGGTGGTGGAGGTGGTTGACTTTGGTCGCTGCGTCTGCGTCCTCGGCTGCGTCTGCTCTGGTCGCTGAGTTGGTTGACTTTGCTGCTGCCTGTCGTCTAGACTACACTGCTAGCCTTGTCGCTGAGTCAGAGTCTGCGTCTGTCTGTCCTCCGTCCGTCGGGGGTGAGTGTGCTCTTGGCACGGACGTCCTTGAGGACAGGCAGGAGGACTTTGACTCTCTTGCGGCTGCTGTACCTCATCTCGTGGCCTGGTTGCTTGCCCCTGAGGGAGACCCGGATGCAGTAG